CTAGATAAGATCTCTCGTGATCCTAGAGTTTGTCATTTTGGCTAGGCTGGCTGGTTAGTGAAACCCAAGATCTTCCTGTCTCCATGCCACAACCCTGGGTTTACAGGCACACACCATACCCAGCTGTAATGTGACTTTCATGGACTTCAATATCTCTCCAGACATAGTTAAGTGATTTTTTTTGAAGGCACACATCATGGTCATATAGTGTCTTAATTAGGGTTTCTATTGCTGTGAAGAGACACCATGACCATGTCTCTCTCTCTCTCTCTTCTCTCTCTTCTCTCTCTCTCTCTCTCTCTCTCTCTCTCTCTCTCTCATAGCAACTCTTTTTTTATATATTTATTTATTATGGATAGAATATTCTGTTTACATATATGCCTGCAGGCTAGAAGAGGACACCAGACCTCATTACAGATGGTTGTGAACCACCATGTGGTTGCTGAGAATCGAACTCAGGTCCTTTGGAAGAGCACACAATGCTCTTAACTGCTGAGCCATCTCTCCAGCCCCCTCATATCAAATCTTATGAAAGAACATATTTCATTGGTTCTTGTTTAAAGTTTCAGAGATTTAGTCCATTATTGTCATGGTGAGAAGCCTGGCTGCATGCAGGCAGACTTGGTGCTGAAGAAGGAGCTGAACGATCTACATCTTGATTCACAGGCATCAGAAGGAGAACTGTGTACCACACTGGGCATCACTTAGGCATATGAGATTTCAAAGACTGCTTCCACAGTGACACATTCCACCCCCAACAAGGCCACACCTCCTAATAGTGCCACTCTCTATGGACCAAGCGTTCAAACACACGAGTCTATGGGGGCGGGGGGAATACCAATTCAAACCACCATATATAGCAAGACCAAGAAAAGGAGCACACTCCTCAGACAGAAAGGAAGTATGCCCTCCTGGGAGAGAAAATGGAGAATAAAGACGACCTTGATTTGAGCGGTTACAACAGAGCATCATAGCCCAGATAGTTCAAAAAGCAAATAGTATTTACCACACTTCTGAAGACCAAGGAATCTGAGAGCAAAGTAAACGAGATTTACTGTCTTTTGAAGGCACTCTGATGGGTTCATACCCAGCAGTTTCTCATTGGGTCTTCATACGACCAAAAGAACACTACATATGGGGTCTTTTTTATAAGGACATGAATCCCTTTCATGAGGGGATAATGACTTTTATGATCCAATCACGTTCCAGAAGCCCCTACAGCTAAGACAATGGCATTAGGGTTGGGAATTCAATACACAAGGCTGGAAGAGACACAACCGTCCAGCCGTAACAAACACACACAATGGAATTGTAGCTGAGTTAGAAAGTTGTCCAAGGTCAAGTTCATAACAAACACACACAATGGAATTATAGCTGAGTTGGAAAGCTGTCCAAGGTCAAGTTCATAACAAACACACACAATGGAATTATAGCTGAGTTGGAAAGCTGTCTGAGGTCAACGGTATTGACCAGCATTGAAGTCATGGAATCACTCTGGAATCAGAGAAGTGTCAATGATCCTCTTTCCCCTCTCTCTCATTTGTCCTGTTTATGAGGGGAATATTGTTTTATTTGTCCTGTTTATCAAAGGAGTATTGCTTTATTGGGACAGAGTCTCACCAAGTAGCCCAGGCTGGCCTCCAACTTACAATCCCGCTTCCATCTCCAAGAAAGAGGGATCTACTGATGTGCACCATCACATCCTGCTTCCTCTCTGACTTTCGTAGAAACATCAGAAAGGATGCACTTGGGCATCTCTATCATTGCAAAGGGTCTGTAACCCGACAGAAAATCCAACAAAAATCTGAACGAAGCGGGTCAGGTGGAGAGGCAGCACTGAGTGGGTTGCCTGCAGCTACGTGGAGGCTCCCGGCTTTTAACATGAGTTCACTAGAGCAAGGCACAGGATGAATGCTGCCATCCTAGCCACCAAAGAAGCCGAAGGCACTGAGAAGAAAAGAACTTACGTTACACACTGAGGTCGGGACCACAGCCAGGACACAAAGACAGATCCTTCACCATTTCGCTCAGTAGCAACCCCCAAAGAATGCTTCAAAGTAAACATTAGTTTGAGTTGAATCTTTGATTTAATGCAATCATTTTTATACTTGACATTGATATCTACAACATACAAAAGGTCCTGGACCCTCAGCGATGCCACGTGCCAGTCATGTGACATCAGACCACCGACTTCCGGCTATGCTTGTGTTTTGCCATCTGTACGATGAGGACAATGATATTTGTTGGGAGGGCGACATGGATGGATAAAGCCCATGCTGGGCCGAGTCCCACGTCACACCCGTAAGTGAGGACTCAGTAAGTGCCTGCTAATGCGGTTGTTATGGTTACTGTTAATATTTCACTTGAGCTGCATAACAACCTGTAAGTTAGGTGCGATTTATTATCCTCATTTCTCAAGTCGAGAAATTGAAACGCATGGAGGATAAGAACTAGCCTAAGGAACAAGTCGGAAAATGGAAATGCCTGACTCGGGAAGTCTTCCAGCTTTCCAGCCTCAGTCCCTGCTCCCAGCGCTCACCCTACCTCTCCTGTGTTGTCTAGGAAGTGCAGTTCTAGGAGTCTGATCATTGTTCACATAGGGCCTCAGGCAATTTTGGATATATTGGAGGTCTAAGCTCAAGAAATATTTTTAAAAAAGTCTTAAAAGAGCAAATAGGTTCTTATTTGGGCATAGCTGAGTGGTACCTCACCACTAAGCAACTGTCATAAGCTAAAAGAGGTGGCATTTCCCTGTCACAGAGCTTCTGGGAAGCATATTTGAAGTCTTGGTACTCCAAAGCTAAGGATCTCAAAGGGCTAACAGGAAAACAGAGGCACGTCTGTAAACACCAGCGTCACTGTAAATCCAACTGCTTTCCACCCTGCAGGGCAGGTTTGTGTGTGCTTCCTTTCTCCAGCTTATTCCTCTGGGTTTCTGCAAGTCTGCGTTTTAACCGCTAAAGGTTTTATGTGTACATCCTGCTCTGATAGAGTATGCTTAGTCCTGGCTAAGACAAGGGTTGCTCAGTGGTAAAGCCAGCTCATCAAGATCTTAGCCTGTTCCTTCAAGCTTCGGTTTCTTCAGTGCCCTTACAATGATCGTGAGGGCTTGGAATTTGAGATGGCTTGTTTTGAAGTCAACTTTCCCGACTAATAATCACATGGTTGCTTCCTTCGCATTCCTTATACAGAGTTCTAACCAATACTTGATTCTTTTTAAGAACGTCAAAGAAAAGTTTCTTTGTGTCCTGTAGCAGTGTGTTATTTAGAGAAACAAACTTTGATAATGCTACTTGCAGAGTTTCATCTCATTCCAGATTAATCAGCAGCCTGTTACTGAATACCCACTAAATGCCAAGCTTTGTGCCCTGGCCAATGAGAGACTCCCCATGCCGTTTACAACAATGGATCATTGGGAGCTGCACATGCACAGTTTCTGCTCACAGCCAAAAACACAGAGCCACCAACCACTTTGAATTGTCCCATTGCCCTCAGGACATAACTTGGCCCACGGTGGCGTTTAATATTCTGAGTTTAACTTAATCACACACTATAAAATGCAGTTCTCTAACTAGATGATGTTCTGATTATGCCCACAAGGTGGCGATCTTGCTTACGGTTCGCCCACACTGAACCCAATGCGGGGAAGGCAACAAAACAAAACAACCACCACCCAGAAGTTAAATCAAAAGATAAAAATGAAATTCAATGAATTCGGTACTTATTTCATGCAATATACTATATTAGCTGGTAAATGAAATAAAAATTTGATAAGAGACAGTCTCTGCTCCTTAGGGAAAGAGGAGGGGAGAGCTTGCTCAAGGCAAGAAAAAAAAAAAAGTACTTTTTAATGAATTAATATATTGTGCTGGATCTATATGGAAGACATTGCAATTCTTTTATAAGATAAGAGCTATAAAAAGTCCTGTGGTTAGGAACACATTCAACAAACACTCTACACTTAAGCCAGGACACGCCGATGGGGAAGAAACCCGCGAAGGTGTATGTCTTGGGTCAGTGCTGGGTCAGTGATGTCATGGGAGGTTGATGTCCCTACACTGTCACAAGCATGACATGGTCTACCCTGCAACGCCAGAATAAACACACACAGTGCTGCAGCTGTAACACAGCTGAAACCTCTCCTGTGCACTGAGTGATCTAAAAGGACAGGGGACTACAGTGTGAAAGGAACCGATTTTAAAACCTGCTTGTGGGACTGGGGTTGAAACTCAGCGGCAGTGAACCTGCCTAGCAGCACAGGTCTTAGGACGGTTACCAGCGCTGGCTCTCCGGAGGACTGCACCCTCATAGTCTTGGGACTATAAATCTCCAATTTGGGATCTAGGATACAAGGAGGGAAAGGAAAGAGCCAGTTTGTTTCCAAGGGATTTCCTGGTAGATTGAACCCGGGAAGATCTGGACAAAGATGCATTGGTTTTTTAGGGTGGATTTTTGTTTTGTGGTGTTTTTCCTTCACTGCCCCCCCTCCCCGCGCCACTACCCCTTTTTCCTTTGCACTAAACTAGTAAATCTAAATGGTATTTATTTTCCTTTGTTTGGGTGAAATTTATAATTGGAAATAAAGCGACCAACTAAACGACAACTTAAAAGTAAATTGAGAATGTTGAAAATGAATGTTTGTATCGGTGTATATAGATTGAACTTTCTTTAAAAAGGGAAAACCAAGTGGCAAGTGACCAGAACACCTGACTTGGATGTCCAACTTGCACAGCAAGATTTAATTCCCAGTATCCCTAGAAAAAGTCAGAGTCCAATCTCATTGCTCTTGAGCCTACAGTGACCCATACTGGGGAGCTTGCTCTGGTAAGGGGTTGTAAGTTCAAAGTCATTGGCTACAGATGGTTCCTCTGCCGACTGGAGTCACATCCTCTAGGGCTCGAAACATTCCCGGGAATTTACATAAGGCAGTACGAATCACAGCAAGTGAGGCTGCAAAAACACCCGCCCTGATCCTTGCCCTGCAGCGCCTGGACTGCGGTGGGGCGTCTGTCTGAAGTTTCCAGGAGAGCGGACACAGTCCAAGCAAAGGACCTAGGCGATCGCCCAACTCCCACGAGAGTGCTGGACGTGCGGCTACAACCAGGCCCTAGATTTGGTCTCTGCCTCTCCCGCTCCGACGCCCCCGCACGGACGCCACCAGCCCAGCTTCCTCCCGACCCCGAAATCCTGGACCTAGCGTGGGGCCACCTCTCGCTCCTGGAAGGATCGGTTGCCGCTTTAAGGGAAAGAGGAGGGGAAGGGGCGGGGGAGTGGGGGGCGGGGAGAGGCGGCAGAGGAGGGGGAGGGGGGATCCCCCTCGCTCCCACGTGGTCCGGGCGCCTGTGAATCGCGCCCGCCGGAGGGTCTCACAGCGAAATACAAAAGCAGCTGGGAAGCCACGGCGAGGCGAGTTCCCAGCGCCCGAGCAGAGCGCTGGCCAGAGCCCCGCAGAGCTCCGCGGCCGCGATGGGGCTCCGGCACCCGAAGTCCCGGAGCCAGCCTGCAGCCGGGCCCGCCTCACCGCCCGCGTCCGGGCGCCCGGGCTTGGCTTGAAGCGGCAGCGGCGGCACCGGCGCGCCGGCAGGAGCATGGGGCGGAGGATGCGGAGCGCCGCCGCTGCCGCGGGGCTCTGGCTGCTGGCGTTGGGCTCGCTGCTGACGCTGTGGGGAGGGCTCCTGCCACCACGGACCGAACTGCCAGCCTCCTGGCCGCCCGAAGATCGACTCCCCAGGCATCCGACCCAGAGTGGCGGCCCCGCGCCCGAGCCGCGCTTCCCTCTGCCCCCGCCCCTAGCGTGGGACGCCCGCGGCGGCTCCCTGAAAACTTTCCGGGCGCTACTCACCCTGGCGGCCGGCGCAGATAACCCGCCTGGGAGGCACCCGGACGATCACGGGCGGCACGTGCCAGCCGGACTTCCCGAGCCCGCGGAGCGCACGGCGGTACACGGGGGCATCTTCTGGAGCCGCGGCCTGGAGGAGCAGGTGCCCCGGGGCTTTTCCGAAGCCCAGGCGGCAGCGTGGCTGGAGGTGGCGCGGGGTGCTCGGGTAGTGGCCCTGGATCGCGGAAGCTGCGGACGCAGTTCCAACCGCCTAGCCCGCTTTGCCGACGGCACCCGTGCCTGTGTACGCTATGGCATCAACCCGGAGCAGATCCAGGGTGAGGCCCTGTCCTACTACCTTGCGCGCCTGCTGGGCCTCCAGCGCCACGTGCCGCCGCTGGCACTGGCTCGGGTGGAGGCTCGGGGCGCTCAGTGGGTGCAGGTGCAGGAGGAGCTGCGCGCCGCGCACTGGACCGAGGGCAGCGTGGTGAGCCTGACGCGCTGGCTGCCCAACCTCACCGACGTGGTGGTGCCCGAGCCCTGGCGATCAGAAGACGGCCGTCTGCGGCCCCTGCGCGACGCCGGGGGCGAGCTGACCAACCTTAGCCAGGCAGAGCTAGTGGACTTGGTACAATGGACCGATCTGATCCTCTTCGATTATCTGACGGCCAACTTCGACCGGCTCGTAAGCAACCTCTTCAGTTTGCAGTGGGACCCACGCGTTATGCACCGCGCTACGAGCAACCTGCACCGAGGACCGGGAGGGGCGTTGGTCTTTCTGGACAATGAGGCGGGTTTGGTACACGGTTACCGGGTGGCCGGCATGTGGGACAAGTATAACGAGCCGCTGTTACAGTCAGTGTGTGTGTTCCGAGAGCGGACTGCTAGGCGGGTCTTGGAGCTGCACCGGGGTCAAGACGCCGCGGCCCGGCTGCTGCGCCTCTACACTCGCCACGAACCACGTTTCCCAGAGCTGGCCGAGCTCGCAGACCCCCATGCTCAGCTGCTACAGCGCCGCCTTGACTTCCTAGCCAAGCACATTTTGCACTGCAAGGCCAAGTACGGCCGCCGGCCCGGGGACTTAATGGCACTCCGAGGAAGAGAGGGAGTGGGTTATGAATGATGGTTAGAGGGCTGTCTTCTCTGCCACTGGCTAGGACCAACCGGCCAACGCCCACACAGCGGCCTGATCGCGAAGCTGTCTAAAAACTTGTGTTTTAACCCACTTGCCCCTTTCTTTTCATGCCAGGCGGTTTCCTTTCCAAGTTCTGGAAGGGCAAACTCACTGAGGCGAGAATTATAACATTCCCTCCACCCAGCTTTTAAAAGGGATTCTTTTCTGTGCTTGCGTGGAGATTGGATCCGAAGAAACTGGCTGCTGGGGTTTGGCCCCCGAATGGCAGTCTCTATGGGAGATGCAGACCATTCTTGTCGCTCTCTCCACCCCTTCCCAAAAAGGAAAACTTCCGTTTGAGCCCTTGAGCTAATCCTGTTATTTCCTATCAAACACGGTACGGGTGGAAGCAGAGCAGGCTGTGACAAGGGCCGGTGGAGCCCCCTTCCTGTGTTCTCCCTTTGTTCCAGCGCCGCGATGGAGAGATAACTGTTCCAGGCTGAGGGACAGCTCTGGATAGGACAAAGAACAAGACTCCCCCACCCCTGGGAGCCCTACAGACCCTGGCCATTTGTCTGACTCATTCCCCAGTTCTAGTCATTTTGGCCTGAAGGCTGTGAATTCAGGACTAGCTGTGTGCAGCAGAGTCAGTAATGAATCTCTTCCTGCTTCTCCCAGCTGACCAAAAAATATGACAGTGATGATGCTCACCAGAAGAAGAAAAAAAAAGTCAAATCCATGCACTTTACTTTGTTTTTAATTTTTTAGTAAGAAAAACTTTTTTATTTGACAGATTCTGCCTTCTATGTATATATGTGCATAAATTGTGGTGTAAATAGACTAAACAAACTTATATTTCAATAAAAGGGAGTTTAAAGTTTAGAATTTAATTCTTTGTGGCTTGATCTGATTGAGGCTCCTGACCTCATCTACTTCTGGAATACCAGTTTGGTTTTGTCTGGTTAATGGGTGTGCCTTGCAAAACAAAGCATGTAGCTCCACCCACTTTGTGGCTGGGGAGTGAACAAAGGCAAGAGTGCTAGAGTCCCCATCTCCGCTCAAATGAACCTGGGACTGGAAAATTGAGTTCAGCCTAGAAGGGGAGGAAGGGACCAGTTCCTAGCCAATAAAACAGATCTGAAAGGATTCCGCCGTAATATATTCCTATATTAATCATTTGGTAAGTACGATAGAACCAGATGTGCAGATTAAAACATGACGAATGCCCCCTTTTAAACCTCGCTGCGTGGTCACGTGCTCCGGGCTGTTTCCAATGTTGTAATTGCCCTGCAACTCACTGTGTGCAGATAATAAGTGGAGCACATACCGCCAACAGGTAGAGTGTTATAAATTAATTCTGCCTTTTAATCTCAGACATGCATTCCTCTGCATTCAAGAGATAATCTCCAACATCTGGACTCCTGGTGTTCTGTGGCTGTTGGGCTGCATGTCCTCTCAAGGAAGCCACTGGGACAAGAAAGGGTACAGTAAGTACTTTAGTCCCTGACATTTGAATTGCGGCCTTTGGGAATCTCAAAATCTAGAAAATTTGGATTGGTATCTGGACCCAAGTGGCCTTGCCTGTTACTTTTTCATTTAATCATCTTTAATCCAGGCAACTTTTAGTTACAACTCCAATAGCTTTTTATTTGACTTGCATTTGTAAACCTGGAGTTTTATAGACTCGGGAAAATATTAAGTCTCTGTGGGTTTCCCTTCACACTCAACCCTGTAGCCCAGTGTGTAATTTAACTATTTAATGTCATCTTTCTGTTTCCAGTGACTTACTCTAGCTCTAAGAAAGATACAGCTCATGAACTGTGGTGTAAGCCAATTTTTTCCAGAGACTAAATAGAGAATGTGCTGATAATGGGAAATACATCTCCTTTCAAGACACAGTGAGACCTCTGATAATTACGCTTTTGAAAAAGAGACATTTTTCATTTCTGGTGATGATTTGCTGTTGAGGTTAATGGAGGCTGCTCCAAGAGAAGGGTAGATCTTAGTCCACTGGCATTTTTCCTCAGCACGTTTTCGCTGAGGGAAACCGTGAGAAGGCCTAAGTTTGGAGTTTCACCCGCTGCCCAGGAAAATCACCCTGCTCTGATACAACTTCCTTGGGCAAGTTCTGGGCCAACGGCATTCTCCACATTCTTCCTGTGCTTCAGCTCCAAGCCCAGACTTGACCATGGGTAACCATGAACACGAAACAGCACAGTGTAAAGGGTTCTCAGATTCTCTAATGAAGCATATCTGCCCGTTGGCAAAAATAGGTTTAACTTCATGGTAGCGTTGTTAAGGGAACCAAGGCCTAATTATAGACAAAGGGCTTTAACTGTTGGTAGTCCTCGTGACTAGTCAGTAGGCCGGGGCATGGAAAGCTCCATTAGCATTGTGCGATGCTCAATGAATGCTCCCAGGGATAAGTCATTTTTGAACGGGAGATGAGTTGGAAAAAGTAATGGGTTCTGCAGGGAGACCATAATCTGAATTCTGACCCTCACATGCTTACCTTCAGCACGTCATTTAACTTCGCTCCCTCATCTGTGACATGGAGATTCAATCAGGAGTACTGTGGGATTTAAATGTTAACATATAAAACATACACAGAAGACACACGCTTTAAAAAGAATCCCCAGCTCACATTCCTCTTAAAGGGGAAAAACAAAACCAACCTTTTCCCCCCTAACACTTTCGTAAATTTCTACTCGAGTTCTTTATCAAAGCCAAGTCTACCTGTTTCCAAGATCAAGATCAGTTTTGACGTGTGGTGATAAATTAACAAAGTGTTTGTTGAGAACCCTCTTCTAGCACTGTGTAAAACATGGTTCATTCAGCCAAGGGCCTAGGCTTGATTTCCACATGGTTTTAAGTGGGTGTTTTCAGAAACCAGCACACCCTATGTACCAAGGCAGCTGGACTAAAATACACGCGAGAGATTTAGAAGAGGAAAGAAAAAAATGTAGATGGCTCATTGCAAATCCATCACCTCTTCTGGAAAGCATCAGAGAGTGATGAATCTTTGCAAGAACAATCCTCTTCCCAATTCCTTCTGCCAAGAGAAAGCAGGCAGTTGACCTTCCTCCTTGGGTCTGACTGTTGATTAATGCGCTCTGCCGGTGACATAGTTCTAAACTCTATTAAGTATGCTCGCACTCCTGTCTTCAAATCAGAAAGAAAAACAAATTATTTTAGCACATCTCGACACTTCGGAGCCCTCTGACTACGACCGTAGCTAGGAAAGACCTCCGCAACCTGGAAGCTGATGGTGCGAACTAAATGAGCAAATATTTACGATATTTTCAGGAGAGTGCCTGGCACACGGGGACCACAAGAGGGATTTATTGATGTGGTAGATCATTCCTCCTCTGAGTCAAAACCAGAGACACTTTGGATGCCAGGCAAGATCCTCTCATAACGCAGCCTTATCACTGTTACAGAACACTTTATGCAGCCTAGAGCGCATGAGTCTAGTAAGAGATACCCAGAGCTCATGGTTGCCAGTAGGCCACTATTTCTGGAGATGCCCTCTAAGATAGAGTCAGCATGGGGCCGCCCCCCTTTCTTACAGCAGGCTGTAGTTCTATTTCTCATGTGGCCTGTCAGCTTCGGGGAGCAATGAGCTGTGGAATTTTTGCAGGCTCCCGAGGTAGCAGGAGTTATTTATGAGTCATGGATCATCTGACCTTGGGAACTCGTTGCCCCTCCGTGTACCTGCCTCATCCCACACAACCACTGATCCCAAATAATAGAAGGGCAGAGGCTTGTGAGAGGAGGAGCGAAAGCCCAGTGACTCCAGGAAAGACCAGTGCGTCAGCTGCTGCAGTGACTAAAAACCCCGTTCCTTACTGCTCTCAACACTGACTGCTCAAGGCACCTTAAGGGAAGGAGAGTCTCGGAGGGGAGTGTGTTGTGGGAGGAAAGTCAGGTGACTGGAGAAGGCAGATGTCACATTGCACAGTCGGAGGGGAGTGTGTTGTGGGAGGAAAGTCAGGTGACCTGACCAGAGTGTAAGGCAGATGTCACATTGCACAGGCAGTCAGGAAGCAGCAAGGGTTGTGTCTGGTACTTGGCTTACTTTTTCCTTTATAGCCAGTTCATAAACCATGTTGCCCACACTTGGGGTAGCTCTTGCCTCTTCAACTTGACCTGGGAAACATCTTCATAGACGTGATTAGAAATATGTCTCCTAGGTGGTTCTGGATCCTGTCAAGTTGACAGCCAACCTCCACAGAAGCAAATCACCTCCAAGCATATTTTGGTGAATCAAGTTTAACGGAAAGGATTCTGGGAGTTGGGAGACCCAGGTTCCTTCTGGCTTCTGATTTGAGAAAGTCATTCTTCTCCCCTGTCTGACTCCCATTCCTTTACATGAAAGAAGGTGTTAGTTACATGATGAATCTGTTAATTTCCAGAATCACAGTATGATATACTTTACATTATGACCTAAGACAGACAGATGGACACACACACACAAGAAACAAAGGTCTCAGTAAACAATATGTGTGACACATATTTTTATGTTTTATTCAATTGTGCTCTGTCCTTTTTCTCAGCTTCCAAGTGCTAATTGGAACCCTCTAAACTGCTTTCCTAACCGATCAGAGGGGTACAACCTACACAAAACAAGCCCTGGCTTACCTCCTCACAAAGCTCCTTCCCAGCTCTCAAACTCTGGGGAAATTCCATTTACAACCAGTTTCTAACCCACTGCCTTTCCCCCCAAAGGGAATACAAAAAGGCTTCAATTCTGTAGACTGAAAAAAAGACGAAAGGGCTTCGTTGAAAATGTAGCTGAGAGAACCGCTCGACATCTTCCATGGGGTCTCTTCATAAATACCTCTAAACATGGGAGGCAACGTCTCGTCTGCTCTGAGCATGTATGAGCAAATAACGCTTTGAAGTTTTAAAAAAGGAAAACAATAATTCTTTGCATCTCTGCCCAAGGACGGCTCAGGAGGACAGTTTCTTGTCTGTGTATTCATAAAGATCAGATGTAAAGTCATCATTTTTTAATGCGACTGTTTTACCAGTTTCTCTTTCTGTGTCCTGCTGTGGGGAAACTGCATTAATAAACTATGTCTCAATGCTGCCTAGCTGGAATTTTTTTCTCTGCAGGACTCCACCAAATATAGCAAAGGAATGCTTATTTTATTTATCTTTTCAACTCTATTTCCACTTCAGATATGTCTTCTTGGCAGTTTTGAATTTTTCTCTCAATGGCACTTTATTGTTTTTTAGGAGACTAAGGAACTAATTGTTTGTTGAGGAAACAACCACAAAAATTATTTCCCCCCTTTCTCGGGTGCCATATGGTATCTTTTATGGTTTTAATAGTTATTTTATTTCCCATCCAGAAAAGTTAAGTAGCTTAGAGAGCTCTCGTTTTCCTCGTACCAGCTCACAGATTCGGCTCCGCTGAGAAATTGTGGGTTATAATAGAAACATGTCACTTTTAAGCCAATGGCTCTATATTTTGCAGCTGTCTCTGCCTGCTGTTTATAGCTTCCTGGAGATGACTTTTTTTTTTCCTTTAACGTCCATTAAAGATTTTGTCCCATTCTAGAAATGGCCTGAAAAGGTAAGATTAAGAGACTGACCACAGCCGTGGTCTTTTTTCTTTGACGTTGTAAATGTGTATGCGCCACATAAAATGGCAATTTTAATCATTTTAATTGTACACTTTATGGCATTATGCATACTTACAAATATTTCTAGAACTTTTCCATCAATTTCCAATAATAAAATAAAACCACAAAGCAGTAACTCTGCCTCACCCCTCCCCTACCCTCCAGTCACCTTTCTGTTTGTATAAAATTGCCTGTTCTGGGTATTTCCCTTCAGTGGAGTCACCTGACATTTGCTTTATTTTTTCTCTTACATCCATGGTCACTGTCTTGTTCAAGAAGGCAACACCATCGAAGCGAGGCACTGGTTGTGGAAAGTGGCTGTGTCTCATTTGAATCTCATTTCCACTTAATAATAACTCCAGAAGTTGCACCAACTTGAGATCCTCCTTAGTTTCCTCTGGAAAAGCCATGGGGAGATGATAGCATCTCTGGAGTCTCTTTCGCTCTAGGAAAACACTTACACGTGGCAGCTACCCAGGAGGGTGAGTACTAGTCCTAGCTCCCAGTCTCATTTCCCTACCGAAGGAGTAAACCACCTTTACACTTTCCAGCCCTACCGAAGTGCTGTGGGTTCATTGGTGAACCAGAGAGGTGAAGGATTTGCCTCTGTGGAGCTTAGAATCTAGACAGGAAATGGAAACTTGTCTAGGAGAAATCAGATGTGATAAGCAAATCACAGTAGAGAAACGTGCAATGTGACTTTGTACTGTGACAACTTAAGCTGACCTAGAGGGGGGTCAAAGAATGTTGACAATCTGGCCTTTTTTGTCTTTGAAATTTAGAGCAATATTGGCAGGGAGGGTAAAATATGAGATTTCCATCATAGCGCCCCCCCCCCAAACGATCTGTAGCTAGACTACTAGACTACCAGACTACTAGAGAGTGTGGTCTCTGCGGCTTCTCTTGGGAGGATGGGGGAGCCATAAGTAGGTGGTTTAAGTTTTTCCAGTAGGTTGTTGTCTGCAACATGACATACATTTAAATATTAATCTTCCCAAGGCAGGGTGCATGGGGAGGGCACGGCAGGAATTAATATCAGGGGGAAATTAGGACTGTCAATAATATTAATAGCTACTTTTTGCTGACTGCATATTAACAAACAAGGCTTTGTGTTACACATCTCCTAGAGCTCTGAGGATTAGCACTGACTGGATATTTCTTTTACAGATTGAAAAGGAAGGGTCAGAGGAAGCCAAGTGCGCCTATGGCTGACTAAGGCAAGGGGCTGCGTCTTAAAGACAAATTTCTCTGGGATAAAATGCTTTCTCTCTCTTCCCTTTGTTTCCCTACCTGTCTTTGTAGGGAAATTCCTATATGAAGTTTCAATATGTGGCCCATTGCCTTTGCTTTTTTGATAGGCAAATTATGTGCTTCTCAAATCTAAAAATGTCTCTCTTTGTATTTTTTTTAATCTAAACAAATTCTGAGAAGCTGGAGAGATGGCTCAGTGGTTAAGAGCATTACCTGCTCTTCCAAAGGTCCTGAGTTCAAGTCCCAGCAACCACATGGTGGCTCACAACCATCTGTAATGAGATCTGGTGCCCTTTTCTTGCCTGCAGAAATACACACAGACAGAATATTGTAAACATAATAAACAAATAACTATTAAAAAACAAATTCTGAGTCATTGTCTCCTCAATTATTTTTTTCTTTCTCACTCTTTCTATTACTTTCTTCTAGAAATATTGTTGGGTATATATTAGTTTGTCTTTTTCCCTCTTTTATTTTTGTTGTTATTGTTGTTTCTTTGATTTTTGGTTTTTTGAGACAGGATTTCTCTGTGTAGCCCTGACTTTCCTGGAACTCACTCTGTAGACCAGGCTAGCCTCAAATTCACAAAGATCTGCCTGCCTCTGCCTCCTGAGTGCCAGAATTAAAGGTGTGCACCACCATGCCCAGCTAAGTTGTCTTTCTATTGTCCATATCCCAAACAATTTCACATCTTTTGTTCTCTTCCTTTCTGTGATGTCCACAGGGTGTGAAGATCTGTCTCTTGATCAGTGAGTTCTCACTTCAGTCATCAAAGCTACCATGTAACGAAAGACCCCCATACTTGAAAGACCCCCCATACTTGAAAGACCCCTGTGCCCACATACTATGTTAAACTCTGCTGAAAATTTAGCTGGGCCCCTGGGCTCAGCCGATGCTAAAACTGGATATCTATGGGTTGCAGACTCACTGACTAGGCTAAGGAGAGGGATCCTTCCACTCCTTCAAGACATCCTATCTAAATTGTCAACTTGCTGCAGGGTCTTTTATCTGTCTTTATGGTTTTTCGGGGAAATTCGAGAATAGACATGGGGCCATTCCCAGGATGAGCTAAGCCCACCAATTTGAGAGCCAATGAAATGCTTGTGCTGTACTACCCTCTTATGTAATCATTTTCCCCTATAAATATGGCTGTTTAAATTTGCCTGGGGTGGGCAGTTGGCTAAGCTACTGTTGCACCCACAGGCGCCTGTGTAATCAATAAAGACACCTCTTGCTGATTGCATCTGTTGGCCTGAATTATTGAGACTGGGGGATTTCTCCCACCACCCTTGAAAACAAGGGTTTTTCAGTAATCGATTCCTAAAGTTTAGATTCATCTGTTTTAACTCAAATAAATACATTGCTCTTTTATTTCCAGATGATTACTTATTTTTGTTTTCCTAAGACTTCCTGTTTCTTTGTTTTGTTTTTGTATTTTTTTTTTAATGTTGTTTTCTTTTCTCTGGTTCTCAAGCCTTTCTTTCCTGCATCAGTCACTCACCAGCGTGCAGCTGATGGTTATGGTGTCTGCAGTTCTGGAATGCTCTAATCCTGTTGCCTTTTAGAGTCACCACATAAAACACAGGACACTGAGTCAACTTTAAATTTTAGGTATTCAGTGAATCAATTTTTGATATCCTTATGTTGTTTACAATATTTAGGCTATGCTTACATTTATGATAGTGTGTTATATTTCTGAAATGCAAAGTTAACCAGACACTCTCCTCTTTTCTCCTAAAGAACATAATCTGATGTTTAGAGGCTTTGTGTTTTGCAATTTGAGGCCATAAACGCATCCTCAGGGAGATTTTATCTGTGAGATTCTTTGTTTTGTTTGAACTGAAGATAAGTACTTCTCAAAATGCTTTCATTTCTTGGGTCAGGAACCCCAGAGCTGAAACCAGAGCAGGGCCTTTTGAATATCTTGCCTGGTAATTGAAGTCCTAGCAGGTAAGAGAAATCTAAATAACAAATAAAGAGGATCCATGGCAGGGGGTGGAGTCAGAGCGGAGTCCAGATAAGAGAAACAATCTTCTTTTGTAAAATGTTAGCTTTTTCCTTTGAGGGTCTTGATGTTGGGGCGTGATCTTAGACAAGTCCAACTTTCCCTTTTGCTGGAGCACATTAAATATCCTCTGCTTGCTAACATCAGGCTCTCTCTCTCTCTCTCTCTCTCTCTCTCTCTCTCTCTCTCTCTCTCCTCCCTCCCCCCAGACCCATTTTTACTTTGCATCTATCACTATGCCTTTGGTTCTTTCTTTGTTTTGAGGCCCTGAGGATTTCGCTACATTTTTATGAGTTGAGCTGTGCATTTGAAAAGACGTTTGCTGTGTTTATGAAACACTGATGGGCGTGTTAGAGAGGGAAGGTTTTTAGGCCGCGTCATTCGTCTTATCACTAGAAGCAAACTCCACCTGGGCGCCTTCTAAACCCTGCTATCAAATCCTGCTTGCCATAGTTTGGTCTTTACTTGGGGATTAGATTAGAAGCCCTGGTTTGGTTATTCAGAGATTTCCCCACCACAGAAACATTTACTTTAATAGGATTTGACCTGAAGTAATTCATGAAACAAGTGACCTGGGAGTCAATAACAAACAAATTATGCACTGTTTGCCACTAGGAAGTCTGAGATATAAGAGAAAAGGTAAGAGTGGGACCAAGGGCTGGCGGAGGGGCGGCGGGGGAGGGGGGGTATCCAAGTGATAGAGCTGCCCAAGAAGCAGCCTTTGCCTCGGGTGCGTAGAGCCCTCAGCTTGACCTTCAGCCAGCCTCAGAGCTCAAGCAGCGAAGCCTGCTGGAGAGGAAAGAGCCATTGTCTCGGCAGGTTCGTCTAGGATGAAAGGATGGTCAAGTAACCCCAGGGAAAATAACTTTTCATTGACAGTCAGATTCCTGCTTCTGCCGCAGCTCTCAGGGATGCAAAATCCAGCCACCGCCATTTGATCTTTGGCCTAGTGACACTGAAGACCTCGTGCTGCCAACCTCTCAAAGAAAACAGAGCGTAGGACACCACAGATTGAATCTCAACCTTGCATTTCCAGGGCAGAACATTCGGCTTTGTGGTTTCCTGAGCCCCTCTCTAGTGACCTATTAGCAAAATCAAAAAAAAAAAAAATGCTAATGAAAGGGGAGGTTAAGCATTTTTGACTTCTCAAGGCATTGAGCTAATAAAATTTTTTTTTAAAATATTGCTGTGTGGCCCTCTCCTTCTCCACCTGTGAAGCTGAGACTCATCCAAAGTCTCTCTGGAAAGTCGTGTTCGTGACCCAGTTCTGCATAGTTTGTGCCTTTTCTGACACTGTGACCCTGCACTCATTACTAGTGCTGTCAAAAGCTATCCAATGATTCTGCTGTAGCAACTCAGGAGTTGGTGCCCAGTGTGAAATCCCTATGGGGATCTTTCCAAGGGATAGTTATGGCCCAGGTATGTTCTGCAACCACCAGCACAGTTATGTTGCCGTGGCGCTCTTGAAACACTTGCAGTTCACTTATCCAATGCCTACCACCCCGAAGCACCTTTGCCAGCCGCTGCAAACCCCTTTGCTGAATCAGTTTTCCTGAACTGTCCAATGATGTGATGCCTAACGGTCTAACGTTCTGAGGGTTCTCTTGGACAGTGCCCCAGCACTAAAATAAGAAATAAGTTCTAGTTTCTTCTTTTACAATATGAACAGCACCCCACGCATATGAGACGCTACAGTAAAGATCTGTGACACAGTCGTCATACCCCAGTCTTTTCTGCTTTGTTTATTGGGCAAATGCGCAGTGGTCATACCTGTTCATGGACTGCGTAGCTCCCAGATGCTTGCTTTAGGCCAGACACTGTGTTAGGTGGTGCAGGCAAGTAGTTAACTGGGAAGACATGGTCTCTCATCTTCTGGAGTGTGGAATCTGCTAGAGGTGACAGACATTAAGCAAATCATTACTGTAATAAATGGAATGACAGGAAAATACATGGCCCTGTAAGAGTGCTAATAGGGGACAACCTCACATTGGAGGTTGAAGGATGTGGCATTTAAACAAAGAGCAGAGCAATGGGCAAAAGTCAGCCCACATAGAGGGGAAAAGTGGGAGGGGAGAGCTTTTCAATCAGAGAGAACTCTAGTCTGAGAGCCTGGGAGAAGGCACCTGCTTCTAAGATACTAAAGAAGGCCAAAGTGGGGACCAGAAAGGGAACTGTAGAACTTGAGGCTTCAAGAAGACAGGCATCTCTTCAGGGTCAGGCCCAGAGGACAGGATATGATGACACCATGTCCATCATCTGATCAGGACACTCTAGAGCATTCCAGTGAAATGGTGAGTTCTAGAGAAGCTGTTTTAGGATCAACCCCCCTTCCATTTTCTAGTTGTGACCCTAGTCAAGTTCCCCGTAGTCTCTGACCCTCAGTATTCTCATCCAAAAATAGGAATAGCACTAAAACCACCTTCACTGAATTGTGATGGTTGATCTTAATCGTTAAGTTGACAAATCCAGAATGACCATGGAAACAAATCCCTGTGCGTGTCTGTGAGGATGCTTCTAGAAAGGTTTGAAAGAACAGAGAAGTCCCACTCTGAATGTGGGGGACACCAATCCATGAATAAAGGAGTAAGGAGCTGAGCAGCAACATCCCCCCTCTCCGTCCTTTCTGACTCCTGATGCAATGGGACCAGCTGCCTTTCGCTCCTACTGCTAGGAACTCCTTGGCATGACGGACTGTATCCTCAGACCATGGACCACAATAAACCTTTCCTTCCTTACATTGCTTTTGTCCTGTATTTAGTCACAGCATCGAGAAGAGAAATTAACAAAGAAGTCAGCACATGTGAAAGCACTTGGGATAATGCGTAGCCGCCTAAGAGGGCTCAGATTGGCGACTGATTCCTCGGACACAGCTCAGGAGGATAAGAGCAAAACGAATAAGTGGCCTCTATTCCACCCTGGTCCACCCAGTTCAAAGGTAGTTGCATAACAAAAATGTTCTTTTTAATAATAATCTTATTTCAGTGCATTATTGTGCTTTTGGTGCCTGTGCATCGCTGCTCATGAGAGGCTTACCC